AACCCTGTGGCTACCAAAGGTCCTTTGAACAAGTTAGACATCCTAAAGGGCTGAGGGCTCACTGGACAGTAGAAATCTGAGAAAAAGGGAACCAGGCCAGGAGTGGGCAGTGCATGCAGGCTGGGGATGGCTGGAGGAGAGCCTTGACAATGAAGGTTTAAGTACTGCCACAGCACGGAATTTACGGTCCCTAAATGTTTGTTTTAACTAGAGTTGAGAACACATATTTGACCCAGTATGAACTTGACCTCTGGGTCCCTCTCCCTTCGCCAGGCTGTCTGTGCATATGACAAGATTTTCCAGCCGACCCTCCTAGCACTGGGGCCAGGGCTGGGGCTGGGCGGCCCTCTCAGCAGCTGCCATGAACCTTCCTGCAGATCTACTGGCAAAGCAGCTGCCGATGGCCCTAGCAGGCATACAAAAAATGTGCAATCCTCCTAGGCCTCACGTCCAAGCCTGCCTGGCAAGATGCCAAGCCGGGGTGGGGGAGGGAGGCGGGCAGGAGACAGTCTAAGAGCATCCTGTCGGTCACCCCATCTCCAGCCGTGCTCTGCTGTCCTGGCTGATGCTACCTACTGAAACATCTTTGGCACTCAGGGTACAAATGACTATGATTCCTCTGCATATAACGTAAAGGACATTTCTAGGATTGGCTTTTGGTTTTGTTTTGGGTTTTTTTTTTTTCCCCCAAAGCAGTATGGGCTGGACGCCATTAGAAAAGCAGTGGAATATCGATTTTCTGTCCCTTGCTAAGGAGAGAACAAGTCATTTGATGTGCCATGAGTTCCATGAGTAAAAACAGACCCTGCACTCCCTACAGCTGGCTGCATTTCTCCCCTATTCATAGATCCTGGCACATGGTAAAAGCTAAACAGATATCCGTTAAATAAATGAAAGAACCATGCATGCATTTACAGAGAGCCTGCGACGTGCCAGGCACCCGCTTTGGATTTGTGTCTGCCATCTTTCCTATCCCTCAGCCTCATGCTGCCAGACCAGCTCGCTCTCCTCTGTGCTTTATTCTTTTGTGTTTTCTGTTCCCACGTCCAATCTCCTTTTTAGAGCTGAGCCCACTGGCAATGTCTCTCTGGGCTGTGCTAAGCCTGAAAGAGGAACAAAAAGATTGGAGGGACAAGTTTTGGGGGAAGGGGAGGACTTAATTTGGAAAAAATACAAAAATAGGGTAAGGCAGAAATGTTACAATCAGAGGCTTAATGCCCCACAGAAGAAAAAGTCCCTAAGTCACAAAATCCTCCTTTAATGTAAGTCTTTCAGAAGGGAGTAACTGTGGTACAATCTCTTTTGCCCAAAACAGGTGTCACTATCAACAGTCACCCAACAGTAATAATCAGAAAGACCTCACCATGCGATGACTTTAGCTTCCGAGATCCACACAGTGTCTGGAAAAGCAATGTTAACGCAGGTGGCATTTCCTCCCTGGGGCCTGGGTGGCTGCAGCCCCAACACCACCTTGTCGATGCACACAGACACTCTTTGCCCCTGCGTGGGTCTGCTGCCCACTGGCTTCACATTTCTGGTTTGCAATTTAAGGTTCATTAAATCTTCAGTTTTCAGAAGCATTTGCCCATGGACATGTAAATCAAGTCGCAATCAACTGAAAACAATTCAAGAGGGCCCAAAGGAGCACAGTGATTTCTTCACTGGACTAGTCAACCCTGATCACCATGAACACATCCAATCTCTTACACAGAGATATTTTTTACACCAAGTAGACATGACCAATATAAAATGAAACTCTTCAGCTAAACCCTTCAAATTATTCTTAAATTATTCAGGTATTACGTCCTGAATTGTACGCTGATATATGCACGCACATATAATGATATGAAGGGGAACTTCATGTTGACATGTCATTAGTTTTTATGTTCCTTTGTGTGATAAATCATACCCATGTGCAATTGTTTAATCTTGGCATATCAGGATAAAAGAGATGAAGGAGATCATATATCAGTTTATTTTGCCGTCTAAATATTACTGCTATGCAGGGCACAGGGAGCTCATGACTGTAATCCTAGCTACTTGGGAGGCTGAGATTAGAAGGATTGTGGTTCAAGGCCAGCCCAGGCAAATAGTTCAAGAGACCCCCCATCTCCAAATAACCACAACAAAATGGACTGGAAGTGTAGCACAAGTGGTAGAGTGCCTGCTTTGCAAACACACACACACACACACACACACATCGCTGCTACACCAATAAAAATTGGTGAGTGAAGGCTTTCCACCCATTTCCAATCAATTTCTGAATATCTTAGGGATATACTTCTCCAAGCAGCAAGCTTTTATGCAAAGAGAACTGTAGACACATATTTAGTTCTTTTAAAATAAATCATTCAGGCTGGGTGTGATGGCACACACCTGTAATCTTAGCTACTCAGAAGGCCATAGGAGGATCGAGGTCCAAGGCTGGCCCCAGACAAAAACGGGAGACCCCACATGAAAAATAACAAAAGCAGAAAGGGCTGGGGGCGTAGCTCAAGTGCCTAGCAAGCACAAGGTCCTGAGTTCAAAACTGTAGTACCACCAAAAAAATTTTAAAAATCATTCAAAGGCACAAAACAACCCAAACCACTTCGAAGGTACAGACTGGGCCTAATTCAAAAATCAAAAATCCAAAACTTTTTGAGTGACAACAAGATGCCACAAGTGGAAAATTCCACACATGACCAGTTGCAGTAAAATGTAAGCACATGAAAATATTGCATAAAATTACCCTCAGGCTATGTGTATGAAGTGTATATGAAATATACAACACAGTTTCATAGTTGGACATGGGTCCCATCTTCAAGATATCTCCTCATGTATATGCAAATATTTCAAAATCTGTAAAAAAAATCGAAATTTAAGACACTGGTCTCAGCCTTTTCAGATAAGGGAAACAACCTGTGTAATAAAAAATTACCCACGTCTACATTTTAAAAATAAAAAGGCCAATGAGGAAAGAAGAAAAACATCAAGTAACATGTAAATGAGGCACTATTTACTGGGCTTGATTCAATACCAAACTCTAAGAATCTCTGATTTCATCAAGGTTTTCCTGAACCCATTCTTTTCACCTTGACACCTGCAACAATCCTACAAAAGGAGTAAGGTGTTCATGTAGTCATTTCTGAATCAGAAAATATAGGATCAGAGAGATCAAATGAATTCTTCCAGACCACACAGCTAGAGGGCTTCATCACTTGAACTCAGGTCTTCTGAACCTAAAGCCAGGGTCTTTTCTGGCCTCATGCTGCACCAGTGGTACCTTCAGTGGTCCTGTGTAAAGGCAAAGGTCCTTCATTTCTCTGGATCTACTGGATATGCATGAAGTAAGATCCCAATTTTAAAAAAAAACCCACCTTGTAAATGCTATCCCTGGGTACTGGTCTACTCAGTGCCTACCTACCCTTTGAAAACACAATTACTCCTGAAGGGAACTATAATTTTGGTTTTCTAGTCTTTGGGTCTGAATTCACCCATCAAAAAAACTAATTTTTTGAATGCTGAAAATCACAGGAAAGGAAAGTGACCATACACCCCAGCACTGCCCAGGGGCACCTCTCAGAGATGGAAGGAAAATTTAAGCCCCAAACTAGAGGCATCTGTTGTAGGTATTGTGAGATTAATCCCAAGCAGCAATTTCTCTAGTGACCGTAACTCTTCAAACTGGTGACCACTGGGGTCTCTCTTTCCAGATCACCAGGAAAGAGATCACCAACCCAGCTCAAAACAGGCAAAACAAGGTCATTAGAATAACTGCATTTAAAATTTTTTTATTCACCACTAGCATTTTAAAATCTGAACTAAATTTTACTTTTTATGCTGAATACCAGATTTTGGACAATTCCAGTCCACATAGTAATTGCTAAAGTGCTATGCAGAAAACAGCTATGAGTGTTCAATTTTTTTATTATTATTTTTGGTGGTACAGAGTGAACTCAGGGCCTTGCACTTGTACCCTAACACTTAAACCACATCTCCAGACCTTTTTGCTTCAATGTATTTCTCAGACAGTGTCTTGCACTTTTGTCTGGGCCAGCCAGCCCCTGACTGGGATCCTCCTACCTCCACTTCCCTTATACCTGTGATTACAGTTGTGTACCACCATGCCCAGCTTGTTTCTTTGGAATAGGGTCTCCCTAACTGTTTTGCCAGGGCTAGCCTCAAACCTTGATCCTCCCATCTCTGCCTCCTTCATAACTGGGATTATAGGCTCAATTTCTTTCAAGGGAAATGAGACCTTTTGTTTCCAGTTAGCACCAGACAGCATCAACTTGTCAAGAGGAGCCTCAAACTACATTTTAACTTAATCCTTAACTTTACAGAGGGGAAACTTTTTCCAATGTCCTCAAACCTATATGCATCATGAATGCATTTTGCTATACCTGAACATTAGCTGGAGAAGCAAGACAGGAAACCTTCCTGGTCATGAGCATTCTGGAAAGCAGGCCCCAAGGATGAAAGGCTCTGGATGCTGTTTTCAGAAAGCTTTAAAAAATGCGCAGATGGAGTGGCTCAAGTGGATAGAGCACCTGCCTGGCAAGGATGGGGTCCTGAGTTCAAACCCCAGCAACACATACACATTCACACAAAACCTAGTAATGTCTCGTTGCAGAAAAGGACTCCTACTTGCCCTACTTCCCATTCCTCTCCTACCTCCTGAAGAGTGGTTTTCATTTGCTGAACCATGTTTAAATGAATTGCATTGGTCCTACCATGTGGTACATCCACAAAAGGGAATGTTTCTTCCAGCTCCTAATTGACAGGTGTGATGGAGTGATTCTACCTCATTTGAGGGCAGGGGATGCACAGTGTGGTTCTGCACAGTTGCTGCTGTCATTAACACTGTCACTATCTGAACCCACCCCTTCCCTGGTGGTAAGGAGCTGCAGGTAGTAGGTGGATCATATGTCAGGTGAGCCCTGTGGAAAACCCCATACACCCCATGTGGACAGCCCCACTTCCCCTACTGTCTAGACCACCTGAATATGGCTACTTACGTTTGGTGCACCTCTGGGAGCCAGGGGCCTTACTCCAGCCATGGCAGCATTGCCCTCCACAGACATTGACCCTGAAACAAAGCAAGACCCTGAGTCCAGCAGCAGCAACACTGTCTTCCCACTAACCCATGCTTCCAGCAGGTTCCACAAAGACCAATCTCCTACTCCCACATTCTTTGGATTTCAGAGAGTCCTATGAGTACCCAGTATGTCCAACCCAAAGCAGCCCTAGTAGATCAAGGACCACATAGAGGGGAAAGGTGAGAGAACCAAAAAGTACGCATAACAGGAGGCGAGAATGCCATCCAAATAAATGGCCCCCAAAATTAAAGTAGCGCTGAACTGATTCTGGGCCCACATTTGAAACAGAGGTTCAGACAAAAGTATCCAAAAAAGAGACAGGCCACACTACCTGGATACACACACACACACGCACACGCACACACACGCACGCACACGCACACACACACACGCACACACGCATACACACACGCACGCACCTGAAGAAAAAGCCAAGTAAGCAAAATAAGTTTTCCTGGCATCCCACCTTGGGGATTAATGGGGAGGAGGGTGGTGCAGGGAGAAAGCTTTGCAACCCAAACTCCTGTGGGTACTAAGAACCCCCTCCTCCGCCACCCCAGGATGTCAGATCCCACAGGTACAGGGAAGCCCAACCCCTTTTCTAAGATGCCCAAAGGTTCTAGGCCACGGAAAGTGGCTGGACATCTGTTGCAAGCCCTCGCTCAGAACATTTTTCGCATGAGCTAGGCCAAAGTTAAAAGTGAGTTGCAAAGAGAAGTTCAAGTGACGCTGTGGGATTAAGTTGTAGTGACTTCATGACGACGCCCATCTTCTCGCAACAGCTCGTTTTGCGCACGGGAGGTTACGCCCCAGGGCAGAAATGCCTTTTGTGTCCCCCCCTCCCGCCGTAACAATGCAGTGGGGTTTAACATCAGTCAAAGTGCCGGGGTGCCCCGCACTCCGCGCGGCCCGCGGCGCTCCAGGCGGGGAGCAGCAAGCCGACCCACCCACCGCGCGGCGCGCCGCCCTCGGCCACCGCGGGGCTCCGAGTGGCCGCCACGGGCGCGCGCGGGCCGGGGTGCGCGCTTACCCCTGCAGCTGCTGCTTCTGGTGAACCTGCAGCCTGGAGCCCGCGGCGCTCTGGGTCTCCTGCGGCACCTTGGAGCGCATGACTTGCCTGCCTTGTTTGGCAAACGGGGCGGCTGCCGGATGACCGGCGGGCGCGGGGTGGAGCGGCCCGCCAGGGCTCCCGGGACGCGCCGGCTCGGGCGGCGGCGGTGGTGGCGGCGGCCGGAGCCCCTGCAGGGCCGCGCCGCCCGGCTTGCTGGTGCGCCGGGTCCGCTCGGACGGGGCGCCCGCCGAGCTGCGGCTGTACCTGGCGTTCAGAGCGACGTTGAAGGTCCGCGGGCGCGGTGGCCCGCCCAGGGGCAAGGCGCCCGCCGCCAGGCCGGGGCCCGGGCGCACCACGTACGTGATCCTCCGCACCCGGCCGTGCGCGGACGACAGGAGCAGCCCTGCCCAGAGCAAGAGTCCCCACCTGAGCCAGGCCCCCGCCATCGCGGGCCCCCGCCGGCACGACCGGCCGCGCGCTTCCCGGCCCCCGCCCCCGGCCGTGCGGCTCGCCCTTCCCCGCGCGATCGGGCTCCCCGAGAACCGCCGAGAGCCCGGGAGAGGCGGGGAGGAGGTCGGCGCGGTGGCGAGAGAGGAAGTGCTGCGGGCTGGCGGGCGGGCTGAGCGGCCCCAGACCCCGGCCGAAAGTGGCGGGGAGGAGGGGGCGGGCGTGGGGGTGGGGAGCGCGGGGCCCGGCGCGGAGGGGAGGGGCGAGGGCTGCGCAAGGTGAGGGTCGGCTGGCCGGGGACCCCGCGAGGGTTCGCGAGGGTTGGCGAGGGCGAGCGTGAGCGCGCGGGACGCTCCGAGGCAGCCCCGGCTGCAAAGTCTTTAAAAAGTTTCTCTTGGTGGAACCGAGTGTCACATCCGAACAGCCAATCTCCTACAGACGTGACGTCAGGCAGTAAATCCTAATTGGGGAAAGCGTGCGATGAGCCCGAGAGCCCGCCGCCGCCCTCCACATCCACAGAGATTGTGACTGTGGATCGCTCCCCGGCCCCCTATCCCGGGAAAGGACAAAGGGCCCAGCAAGGTTACTGAACGGCCCTCTCATTCGAGAACCCCTGTAGGATTCGTGTGATATTGTTCGGGAGTCCAGGCACTTTCTTATCCATGTAGGCTCAGATACTTGCTGCGGGAATTCGATTAAAATACCAAATCTGGCCCCAGAAAGGACTTTCCGGGATGTGCCGACTCTCCATCGGGAAGCGTTTAGTCCCAAAGACGTTTCTCCTTAATACTGTAAATTCTCGGTGACTTTCCCGGTCTGCAGCGTCTGGTACCCTACTCCTCGCTTGGCAGGTACGAGAGGGCGGGCAGCAGGGGGCGCCCGCGTAGATGGTGACGGAATGCACCGCAGAGGTAGCCCTGCCCTTGATCTTTCACCATAGGAAGACAGAATGTGGGATCCCTGACAACCCCAAGTCGTTAATAGTATTTTTTTTTTAAAGTCAGATCAGTTCCCTGTACCCTGGAGGATCAGTTCACTCACCCTGGAGATGACCCAAGATCACATTAAAAGACATAGAATGTACCAGGGGACAGAGGTGCTCTTTGGAGAAAACCAAAAAAATGACAGTTTTACTGCTAGCATTCGGATTTAAAAACAATGTCACCAGCAGAATGCATGATTTTTTTTCTATGAATGCAGGTTTAAAAATCATGATCACAGCAGTTATTTCTTTAAAAAAAAAAGTCTCTAAGAATGGTCTGTTTCCAAGGCTTTGGTTGTTCTTTCATGTTTATTTGCAGTTTGCCATTTGTTTTCTGGTCTGCCTGCACTGGCTTTGGACAACAGTTGAGAATAGTTTAGGAGTATCTATGGGAAAATCATTTAAAGTTGAGGAAATAACCCATTCATCTATTTTTTCTCTGTACATAAGAGAAATGCCTCCGGTATTTGATTTTGGCATGAGAGAACTTCAGTCCAACTGCCTGAACACCAGCTTCCTGTGCAAATACAGTCTGATGGCCACTGTCATAGAATTAGTGACTCTGGACTGGAGGGAGACCTCAGTTGCAGCCTGATTCTGAAGCGAGTTGGCTGCAAGAGCACAGGCAATTTACCTCTCCTCTCAGAACCTCAGCTTCCTCATCCATAACATACAGGGTTTGGATTAAAAGTCCCTTCCAGCCCTAAGAGTCTGTAGCTCTAAGAACATCCAGGGTCCCTCTGGACAGGATCATTCCAGGTCAGCCTCAGAGCCAGGCCAAAGTGAACCAGCTGGGAAAACTGAAGAAAGAGGATGGCAGAGATGCTGTGTCCCACACTGCACTGGGATCTTTGTGATCAATACAAAGCCAGCTAATAAATAGCCACCAAGATGGCACAGTGGACAAAGTGTCACAAGGCACAAATGCCTTTGCTTTTGAGAAATGTAGCTGGTTATGAATGAGATCTAAATAAAGCTTTAAAAAAGATAAATAATAATTGAATTAAACAATACTTAGAAAAAACTGGAACTCTCACAAAGCAAGACTTGATTTCTATGATCCTGTGTCATAGTACAGCCCCCAAGTCTTCATCAGCTTGTGAACAATTTGCAATAAGCAGGAGAAATGACAAGGGGCAGCAGCATGGGACTTCACTGGTCATCGGTGGTGGTGGGCTTTTCTGGTGGGTCTCTCCCAGGACCCTGATGGATGGATGCATGTCATAGCCACGTTGGGACATGAGAAGCAGCTGTGTGTAGAAGGTACAGTGGGGTCATGAAGTCTGGGGGCTCTAGTACTGCTGCTGTGCCTCCCAAAGGAATGTGAGCAAAGGTTTGTCACTCTAAGCCTCAGTTTCCAGAGGATCTAGGGATCTGCCTAGAATCCTTGTATCTGTAATAGAATTCACCTTTATAATTCCACATAAAAAATGGGGTGGGCATTTCCATCCAATTACACCCTGTCTTATAACAGATCTGGATATAGCAGTCAGACCTTCTCTGAAATACAAAACCTCTAGTGGAAAAAACTCCAATAGAAATGTTAATCCCACTCCTAAAAGATCATAACATGTTTAAATACATGTGTGTATACACACAACTATATTAATATGGAAACACACATGAGCAAGCAGCCCCACTCTCTAGCTGGGAGACTCCAGCAAAGTCACAGTTTTCTACCTACGTCTCTTGCTAGTGACATAACTAGCAAGATAATCCTTGAAAAATGTGTCACGCTCCCCATGTAGATCATACGAGATGTTCGCTCATCTACAACACTGAACTCACTATTATCCTGAAAGTGAAAGCCCAGTTTCTGTCAGGCATCGACACCAGACTCTGCAAAGTCTAGACCCAGTTTAAAGTCATGGATCCTGGACCCAAACCCCCATAGGGTTCAAGGTCCATTTATATTGGCAGTACACAACTTCCTGGTTCAAAAACCAAGCCTTTAAAGATCTCATAAAACATCTTGAACTTCAGATCGTTTTCACAAAACAATACTCAGATGAGCTAAGTGTAAATGAATCAGAAAAGAGGATTATGTTTCCCATAAAAAACTCATGGGTTTGAGGATTAGGGGAAGAAAGAAAGGCTGGCAAATGCCGAACATTTTAAAGCACTTTGAGACCATTAGTCAAACTCAGAACGCAGCCAGGTTCCCTCATCTTTGCACTTTATGAGTTTTGTAATTGAAAATCTTTTCCTACATTTAAGATCAACTACAAATCAAATTTTACTGGCTGTCTATGATCAGGACTGTTCCCACCCATGTTTTCCTCCAGCCAATGAGTTCATGGAGCCCCTGGTAGTTAGTCCTTTCTAGTTTCATCAAGAAATTCTTAGAAGAAAAAGGGAGGGAAGAAGGGAAAGAAACAGAAAGTCAGGCAGTTGTGCCCAAAGGGAAGAGAAGGAGGGCAAGGTAGAGAGAGACTGAGGGCTGGAAAGGAAGGCAAGAGGGATATTAGGTTTAGGTGAGTGTCCCCCAAAGGCTTCAAGGCTCGGCACCCAGGATGGTGCTATTGGGACCTGGTTGGACCTTTGGGAAAAGGTCCTTAGATCACTGGGGGTGTGCCCCAGAGGTGGATTGTGGGGTCTGGTCTCTTCTGGTTGCTCCTTTTACTCCCTGGGTTACGAGGTAAGCAGTTTGCTCTGCCACACACTCCTGCCATGATGTCTGCCTCAAGAGAAGACAAAAGAAAAAGGGCCACTTGATCATGGACTGGGACCTCCAAAATCATAAGCTTAATAAACTTTTCTCTTGTAAGCTAATTGCCTCAGGTGTTTCATTATAGTGACAGAAAGCTGACTAATACATGGGAGAGAGCAGGAGAAAAGGTTTGAAGGAAAAAGAGGCGTGCAACCCAAGGAGGGGCAAAAAGGTAGATAGAAGTAAAGACAGAGGTGAATGAACTGGAGTAAGGGAAAGGAAAGAACTCAACGAATGAGAAAGGGAGCAGATAGAGCTAAGGCGAAGGGGGAGAGGAAATGTACAGCGATCAGAATTAGAAAAAGAGCCTGTGACTGTATTTTCTTAGGCTGCTCGTTAGGATTTTGGGAGCCTTTTCTGAACATCAGCTAGTTGTGACCAGAACATGGGTCATCCTGGTTTGGGCTAGAATTAAACAATGTGGATGGCTGCCCACACCTCATACAAAGTGGGAGAGACAGGAAGTCCCACTTTCTCCTGCAAAATCAGGAGGCCAAACATGGAATCTTCACCATGAGATAGATCCAAAATAAGTACTTTGTTCACTCTCACTGTCCTCTGCTTTGCACTTTCAACCATTTCATCAAAAAAGCAGGGTGGAGGTCTGAATGTGGTGGTACATGCCTGTGAGTCTAGCACCTGGAGGCAGAGGCAGGAGGATTAAGGCCAGCATGAGCTACCCAGTGAGATCCACCCCCCGCAAAAAAAAGTGTGTGTGAGGATGATTAGAAGCATGTGACCTCCTCCACACTTGACTCAGTTTCCATGAGAAATAACAGAAAGCTTTCCAGAGGAAGCATTAGGGTAGAAACCATCTGATGAAGATGCCAGTGTCTGTCTGCTGAGCTGTGTGAGCAAGATGGAGACAGGTCTGCCTTGCAGAGAAAGACATCCCCTGTAACAGAGCATCAAGTAGAACTGAGGATTACCCCAGCATTCCCTTTCTCTTAAAGCACCTTTAGGCCAGGTATTGTGGTTCGTGTCTATAATCCCAGCTACTTGGGAGTCAGTGATAGGAGGCTCCTTGCCCAAGGCACTCACCCTTAGCTGCTCAGTAAACATTTGTTGAGTACCATCCACAGTTCGCCTATGTTGAGCCTTACAGCAATTTCAAAACAGACTTGCATGTTAACTCAAGAAGTTGAAAATACATCTGTTGCTGGATTACAGTCCAATGTTGCCCCTGGGTCCGAGAGTGCCTAATAGTGTCAGTACACAGACACTCCAAGGGAGCCTCAAGCCTACTGGGGAACACAGACAAATAATCACATATGTGACAATTATTGACAAAGGCATGTGGGTGAGAAACAAGACCCTCAGAGGAAAAACAGGTAGGATCATGGCCTCCCTTCCTACAAATTTAGAGGAGCCAATCAGTGAAGAGGGAACTCACTAAAAATAAAGTTAGGGG